CAAGGAAGATATAAACAATAAATGAGCGGGAGGAGTTCTTTCTTCAGCTTTTAACACAATTAACCATGCACCTTCGTGAGGAGGTTTTTGCTGTCCATTTGAATGAAAGAGCAGATGGGACATCGGAATGTTGAGAGCAGAGCTAAAGAGAAAATAGAGAGCTCATGTAGACTAAGGTTGCAAGGAAAATGAGTAGATGTACGAACGCCACTGGTTTCGACACTCAATATCTCCAACCAGCAGTTACGATGATCCTCATCCAGGAAACCTAGTGCGACTCACGTTTCCGTAGTTGCCGCAGTTTTCATACCTAGTTTGTCACTCAAAACTGTATTAAGATTGCACGAAAGAGAATGAGATAATTCAAGAGTTAGGTTGATCATGTGAGAATGCACTCACCAAAATCCAAACAGCCTTGACCTTTTCGATCGAACATCTCAAAAGCCAGCGTATAAAGAGCATCGGGAGTGCAAAGCAACGATTCAAATGCGACGAACTCGTCAAACGAAATAAGACTGAGGAGAAAACAGAAAGAACAGTGGAATGTGAAGATGGGAAGCACGGGATTTTTACGATGAGAAGTATTTTACTTCTATTCTTATGTTAAAATTACAGAATCAAATTAGAGCAAGGAGCCTTCTAGGAAATAAAGCCAAAACGAGCAGAATTATTGCAGCTTGTCCGTATAGAGCACGGAATACGATTCGCATACCGCTAGTTCCCATCCATCTTCGGGAATTTCTCGTGAACGCATATGTATATGCTCGCGAGATTTGATGTTAGGTCCGCATGTAAATTTAAATTTTGATTTAGAGAAATCAATTTTATCCCAGACGAAAATGACAGGATACGAAATGTTCTCAGTGCATCTTCCGAACGCGGATGAAAAAATGTACTTCATGGATCGGTGGAATGGGTTGCACACACACACACACAGCTCCATGGTATACAACAGAGTAAATTGCATATCATGAGCGAGTTGTGAACGACGTACGTTGAGGCAAATTGCGAATCAGGACAGTTGATCGGCAGGATAGTTGTAAAATCAGATGGAATGCGGAACGCAACAGGTTGATATTTAGTGATGGAAGAAGCTCCACTTGGATAACCCCGTGGGAATAACATGCTTCGGACATGAAATGCACAAGAGCAAGCTTGAGTTTAGAGCCCGAGACTTCCGTGGTGATGGTTTTGAATGTAAGTTCAGCGGACGATAAATCACAAGTTCCCAAAGGAAGAGATAGCGAACTCACATCAGAACATTGAATGGTCTCCTTCTTTCAGTATTTTAGAGTTTTCATTGACATTCGACTCGCATGATCTATCACCAGATGTGCCCGACAGTTCCTACGCGTTGAATCCGGGATCCCGGAACTTGACTGCTAAGCAACTTCTGAGTTGGCTGTCGAACGATGGCTGCAACAAAATGGGGAAAACCAAGATGGGCCAACGTTTCCGAAACCTCTGGCTGACAATTCTGAAGTATCTCTGGGTGTTTCGTTGTGCTCGATTTCTATCTCCCTCTGATATGAACGATCTTCCACTCTCTTGTCCGTCGGTGATATTTGAACATGTTGATGTGGTACAACTTCTTCCTGCCATTCCGGATGGCTCTGATTCAGGAGTACTTCGTCACAACTTGTCTAAAATAGGTCAATCAGGTGTAAAACTGAAACCCGTCAAGTTTATATTCTTTCTCGTCGCCTGTTTCCAACTTATCCTGCATCGGTGAATTCCATTGGGATGGTAATCGTACAGCGAAATACAGTGGAGTGAACATAGCTGGTCGCTATCAAGCTCACAATAAGCATAAAGCATAAGTGAGAATCGACAAGGACAGGGATTGGGTCTGATTGGAAAGAGGCACACAAAGTGAACCTACCGGTTCATGCATATATTTTCAAGCATTCCGACTTGATAAGAAGTGACAACAAGAACGCCCCTATCATCAGTTAGTTACCATATCACAGCGTCTTCAAAAAATCATTTACGGGTTCTTTTGAATCCCAACCGGGAAACATCCATCATACGTAATACCTCTGCGTATTTCTTCAGGCCTCATTTCCACTTCATCTGTTGACTTCCACGTGGTTTTCTCCTACCCGGGGCCGCAACTGCAAATAAGGCATGGTGCGGTAAACGACAGCTTGGTATGAGCGATACGTGTCCTAACCAGGAAACCTAGTTAGCTGAACTCGATGCGATAGCGAATTGCCCATCACTACATTCTCAAACATGACGACTAACATCAAGGTTACTAAACCGCTTACGCCATCCCTTAAACACCAAACGACGTAAACATTGATGATCAAAACTTTCTAGCTGAAGGCTGTTTCCTTGTGGCGAATTCCAGGACTCACAAACAGGCTAGAATTAAACGAACGGTGGCACAATATACACTATCTTTCAGCTTGAGTGAAATGCCTGTGCGTGTTGTGCAAAGTTTGTAAATGCGTGGCACTATCACCATTGATTACATGACTAATCCTTGGCCCTTAAGTTACAAAGTGGGACTGGTCGACGGCATTACTTTGAACTTTGAAGGTACAAACAGCGTACCAAATGAAGTAACAGAACTACTTGTGTACGCATTGTACGGGAATTGCCAGTTTGTCCAGCCACGAAGCAGGATAGTAATTTGACTTCTCAACCAAAGACTTCACATCTGACAAGAATCTAATCGTACGGCAGTGGGTGAAGCGAAGTAAAGGCCTTTTTATTTAAACGAATTAGTCTCCTATCATTTTTATTGACTGAAATATCAGTTCGAGTCGAACCCCCGAACTAGAGGATCCGAAGGCTGAACTTCATCTGAACTTTCACATCATATAAAAACCGCTATGTAGACTGTGGGGTCATGTGGATGCACAAATCATAACACCACGTCAATGTGCAGTCTCTTCCTGATGTTAATTGTACTAAGTATATAGCGGTGAGCATATATACTAATCAGCATTGTACAGGAAGATTGGGCTGTTCCGGGGTTTTACTCCTGGGCCCTGTCTGACTGCGTGTCCTTTGGGCTCACGGCCTTAGGCTTTTCCCGGTCATTCCGTGGTCCACAACATACAGTCAATCTCAAATAAAGGGGAGCTCAAGAACTTCCTGCATACTTAGGGTGTCGCCGTTAGTCTAACTGAGGCCCCCGGCTCATGACAACTAACGAAATACAGTAAGAATGGATATTTGAGGGTATCAGGAAAGCGATATCAGGAACTAAGTCTAGTTGGCTGGTACATTTCGATTGAGTGTTGTTGTACAGCCGGTACAATCACCCATTCAAATACGACCTTTTGGTTAGTGACATCCAATTGGTGGAATCTCATCGTACTATATATACCCAAGTTTTCCCCCCGTAACGATTAATGCTAGTGCTAAATGATGGAGCTGTGAAATCAACTCGTATCACTTGATAGCCACAAATCCAACCTGAGCAAATGATTGTAGAGACATGGAATCGTTTGTTAGAATTTAATCCTTCAGCAGCACAAGATACACTAATCCGCTGTAGTTTATGATGCCACTGACATTCAATAGAACCCAAACGTTACACTGGACCCTGTCGAGGTACTGCAGTAGCAAACGTAAAGAATCTGGTCATACTCATGGATAAATACAGAATATTGACACTAAGCATTCACATTGCCGTCATCTATCCCGGGTCGATTTCAGGCACATCATTCTGCGAGCTAAACTATTACGAACTTCAGAAAAGAAAACAGCAAATAGTTTTTCACCTCTTGGAATTCGCCCCCCCCCCCCCAA